GGGGGGAGTATAGAGAGGGAGAAATGGGGATATGGCTTGCTCTTATTGCCGCGCTTTGTTAATTTTAATTTTAATTTTTGTCTTTTACATCTTTTTCTTTCTCTTTGTCCATGAGTATACATGCATTTGTAAAGAGATAGAGCAGTGGCTGCGGGAGACCGCTCCATATGAGTGAAATTAAAAGGGACGTGTGCACCAGCGATCGTTTTCTTCAGGCCCTACAGAATACCGAGGATCCGGAGATTGTGGACGCGGAGCTGCTGCTGCTGCTTCAGGACCTCGGCTCCCCCACAGAGGATCCCATCTCACTCTCACCAGCGGGTCTTTATCATTTGCTGCAACTCCTCGTCGAGCGCACGAATAATGCTTGGCTGGAGGTCAGAAAAAAAATTGCGTTTGTGTTTTCTGACCTAGTATCAAAAGGTCATGGTGACGTGCTGGCCGACGCTCTTGTTTACGGTAGGCTGTGGCAGACAACTGGAGGCGAGGCTCGCGCTAGTCATATTGACCTTGGCGACACCGGTGATGAAAACTTGGATTCTGCTGCGGCGCTAAAACAGCTGAAGTACTTTATTAGGAAGCTGGCGTTGGCTCATGGTACGGTGGAACGTTGCGTTCCTGCAGCTGACGTATTTCGGACTTTTACACGTGTGCCTAGTTTTTTGGAGATAATTCTCTCACCCGCTGAGTTGCTGAGTGAGACAGCGGAAGAAAAAACATCTGCGCAGCCTCACCCGAAGCATGATCGCTTTCAAGAGACATGCATTGGAATTCTTTGTCGTAGTGCTGCGTCATACACAACTGTCTTTTGCACCGAGACATGGCGTTCCTTAACGACAGCCCTCTATACAAATAAAAGTCTTTCGGCCTCTTTGCTGCTACATTATTTCAATGAATTTGTGGCACTGCTGACGGACTGCCTAGTGGGTCGAAACTTTGTCGCCAAACTGCACGCTCTGGAGTTACTCGCCGCTCTTCTTGAAGATTCTGCCTTTCTGAAGGCCAGAAGAAAATTTGCAGAGTCTCCTGCGTTACTTTGTGCTTTGCTTCCCTTGACAAACAGCTCATCGGCGCACATTCGATTTCTCGTCTTTGATACGCTCAAGGTATTTATTGCGAAGGGGAACAAACCCGCTCCTATCAGGTACGTTCTTTGCATTAACCGTGACATGCTTGCCCGCTACGTGGAGGACTACTCTACAAAGGAAATTGCAATCAACAAGCGCCTGGAGGTTGAAAAGCAGAAATTGCTGCAGAGTCTCACCTCTCTCGAACCTTTGACACACGAAGAAGAGCTGCTGCTTGGCATCTAGTTGTTAATGTCTGGTGTGTCTTCTGAGGACAGAGAGAAAAAGAGGAGAGGAAGCAGGAGCGAACGTGGGTGTGTAGTGTTGTTACTGGGCTTTGCGTGGTGTTGCAGGAGACTGACAAACAAAAAAAAAAAAGAATACCTGCATCAGCATCAGGGAAGCAAATGTATGGTTGAGCACGGAATTTCAGTGAAGGATGGGTGAGGTGGGCTGCCTGCATTACGTGTTTTTTTTCTCCCGTCTTTTTTGTCTATTGCCTTTCCCCCCCCCCCAACTTGTTCTTTCTGATCCAGCAGAGGTGCAGCTTCTACTCCCGGTTCGTCGGGCGGGCGCATGAGGGTTTTGGAGAAGACGGAATAGGAAAAACTAAAAAAAAAGGAAGACCAGCGGGAAGACAAGTGACGCTAACGCAACAAACCGAAGGGGCGCGGGGTTGTTGGTTGCTGCCTGTATCAAGCCGCATCTTTTTAGTTTTTCTGGGTGACAGCAAACAACTTTAACAACACGAGCAAGAAAATGTCTCGCGGTTCACCTCCATCCTGCCCAACGTTTGACCCGCAGCAGCTCAACCTCCCCGATGCAGTGCCGGTGGGATCCGGCGCCATCTCGCAAGTGGTGCACAGCAAGCTGAACTTTCCCCCTTATACCAGCATAGCCGTAAAGATTGTTTCGAAGGTACAACTCCTTCAGCAGAACAAAATCAACATTGCAATGAATGAGAAACGAGCTCTTTTAGAGATGGGGCCACATCCTTTCGTTGTGCGCCTCCTCGGGACGGCGCAGTCAACAGACGAGTTGTACTTTGTCATGGAGTACCTTCCCAATGGGGATCTTCTCGAGCACATCCGAACCTGTCTCTCGCGCCATACATTTGTGGCACGCACTGCAGAAGACACATTGGATGATGTTTCACGAAGGAGATTATCGTTGAAGGATACCACATTTTGTTGTTTGGATTTCCATGATATTCAACTCATTACGGCGCAACTCGTCGTGGGTCTTTCACACGCTTACAGTAAGGGCATTGTTCTTCGCGATCTCAAACCAGAAAACATTGTATTCGACCACAAGTATCGTGCATGCTTAGTGGACTTTGATACTGTGGATTTGGAGGGAACGTTGCATCCCCCCAAAGCACTCAGCAATGATGAATTGCCTGGGAGTGTTACATCTAATAATAAGGTTGAACCAAAGCGTCATCTTACCGTGTCTGCTATTCAAGATATGCGAAAAATGTCTGCCAATTTTTGCGGTACAGCACAATTTGTGTCACCCGAAATGCTTGCACGATGTCAGTGGAGTTACAGTAGTGATCTATGGGCTTTGGGCACAATTGTGTATGAAATGCTTTACGGCGTACACATGTTTTCTGGATGTAACCCATATATGGTGATGAAGAAGGTCCTAGGTGGCATTCACTCTGGGAAGATCCGCTTTCCAAGGGTGAATCTAGGGCCGGAGTCTGATGCCTTTGAGCGCGTCAACGATTTTATCTGTAGGCTTTGTTGCATAAATCCCTTGGAGCGGCTGGGTGTCAACCCAGTCACCGGGAAGTTTGATGAAGAGGCAATTAGAAAACATCCTTTTTTTGGAGACTTCTCCTGGAGCTTACTAGATGAGCAGGTGCAGAAATACCGCCCCCCTGTAGTTTTTACATCTCCATCCGACACAGGGTTGCCACGGACACCAGCTGCGCTAGGTCCACTGCACCCACAATTGCTTGATGATGGTACAGTCTCTCTAAAATCACACTATCATGTTGTTCCATTCCACAGCAATGAGTATGCAAAGTACGTATTTGAGGCCACTGCCGACGCGAACCCGTTTGAGCGATGGGCACAGGCGACAATGGGGAATTCATGCGCTACCATGGACGAGGAGCTATCTCAGGACAATATAGATTTTTCAGGTGAGGTTGATGGTGGAACCGCTGGTGACGATGGTGAGGACACGGACGAGTATTCCGACGTTGTAGATGACGTTGGGGTACGCTTCTTTGGTCCGACCCACCCGGACTTTGCGGACACCTCATAGGAGCACGCTTACTCGGTTTGCCCTATTATTATCATTATCATTTACTTGTCCTTTTTTGGCATTTTGCTGTTGCTTTTTTTTTTTTTGTTCTTTGAGTTTGCAATCTGACGATGGCGCGTTGGGTACGCCAACGATACATCATGTACAATCTATTTTCCATAGCTTCTCGTCAGCCCTCGTCTTTTTCTTCTTTTTCTCCCTCTTTCTTTCTCTCTTTGTGTTTGTGTGTGTATCTTTTTTACTGTCCAATTTCTCGTGTTTCTTCTTCGTTCATGTTCTTTTTTTTTTTTTTTTGTTGTGTGTGTGACAAACGTGGGGGCGCCTTGTTTAGAAGTTTATTGTTGTCGTAGTCGTTGTTTTTGCTTGCGTGGTTTATAGCGAAACAAGACGATTTGCAAAGAACCCCCTTTTTTTTTTTGTATTAAACTCACTTTACTTAAGCAGCCATGCTAGAGATCAATGGCCTGGCACATTTACTCTCTCTCACCAGGGAACATCCCATTGTTGTGGTTGCCTTTTACGCAGACTGGTGTGGGCCGTGCCAGCAGGTCAAACCACACTACGCGGCGCTGGGCGAAAGGTATAAAACATTTGTGAAATTTTGCAGGTGTAACATCGACCGTAACCGCGACTGTGTGGAGAGGTTTGGTGTGCGTAGCGTCCCCAGGTTTATGGTTTGGTTTGCTGGTGAGTGGCACACGGCTGGCTCTGGCGCGCAGTTTGGGGATTTGCAAAGACACATTGATCAAGCAATTTCTGCGCACCGTGCGTCATCGTCGTCATCATTATCATCGGGACCATCACACAGTGATGGCACGTTGGGTAATGTGCATCAGGTTTTTGCAAGGCAGATGCAAACCTTGGCAAAAGCTGTTGATTCCGCGCAGGGCGTCACTGCTGAGATGAAGGAGGCATGTGAAGCTGTTTGCGTTACACTTGAACGGGACAGTGAGAGGCAGCCACTTGGTGCCATCATGCTGCCATATTTTGCTTCAAATGCATTTAATGCGGCTGCAGTTGATAGTCTTTTTGCATACATTTCCACAAGACCTGAACCGCGCGGCAGTGATTGTGTGTATATTGTCAATGGGGCTTTAAGCACTCTTATTGAGTTCTTTCTTTCTGCCACCCTGGACAACACAGCAGGGTTGAATGTGCTGCGACAGGCGCTCTACGCTCTTGTGTCCTGCACCTCGACCCTGGAAATTATTGTGCGCTCGCATTTATTTTGCAACGATTTGTTGTCTACTGGCTTACAACTGGAATATGGCACGGTATTAGGTGCGCTGTTGGGCGTCTCCACTCAGAGTCGCAGCAATCGCGTATTTCCTCCGTATTTGATGTCTGCGCGGTGGGTTCAGTTGATGGAAATGTTCCCCAAAGGGACTGAAGATCATTCTAGTAAGATATCCGAATTACAGTTTTGTATGCAGACATCCTGTGCCGGGAACAAACGTATTATTTTGGCGCTTTTGCAATCTAAGATCTCGCGTGAACCAACGCTTCGCTTTTTTGGTACCGCACTACGTCTTAACGCGGGATATACCAAAACGGTGCACCACGATTTGCCGTTATCCTCACGATATTTTATGTCTCAGATGAACGATGTGCTTTTGGAGGCTGCACTTCCGTTATTCGGAACCGCCTACGACCCCTCCACCATTCCTTCTTACTATGTTCTTGAGGACAATGCGGAGAACACGGTGGTGGATTTTGGCGATGACGTGGAACGTATCGTGCACTACGATGAGGACCATCCTCTCCCTTTATTCCCTGCAATGAGTGGACCGTTTAAACCTTCGGTGCACCTCTTTTTTCTCGTTGCTCGCTCGATCATGTTGAGCGCAGCAGTGATGATTGGGATTCATGAGCGGGTGGGACGCGATGTGACGCATCCGCAGGTGTCGCCGGAGCAACGTGCAGCGTATGTGGCGGAAAAGTCACTCATTGAGGGTTTACTTGGCTCCGAGAGTCTCGGGCGAAAACGTGTGCAGGTTCTCAACGGTATTGCAGCCTGGCTTGTGAAACTCATGAACGCCTCACCTGACGGTGTTCTTTCAAAGGAACCACCAGAGGAATGGAAATATTTGCCCCAGCAGCTGGTGGACGTGGTAATTATGGGCGTAGAGATGGCGCCACTGGAATACTTTGATCTTGAACACATTATTTCCTTGATGCTGGTCCTGATGGGCAATACGACCTATTTCCCCAAGCCACACACCCACGCACTCTTTCCAACGTTTCTTACCCGGTTATTGCAGAACGAGGATACAAAACGAGCTCTGACCTCGCATCCATGGTTTACACAACACATTGTGCGAAGCTGTGTCCTGTGTTACATTGCTGTGGAGAAGTCAACGTACGAAAAAGTTTCCGTACGTTACATGCTTTCCTACTGTACAAAGTCGTTTCTCACATTTGAATCGTTGTGTCAACCAATCCGTGAGGAGTTTGAGGCTGATGGCACCATCCTGGAACGTTTTTCACACATGGTGACGGCCGATGTGAATGAGGCCGTTGATCAACTCATTGAAACTCTCACACAGATGAATCGACTTGTGAAGGAGGGGGCTGATTTGAGTGAGAATGCCCGTGCGCTTCGAACTACCGACGGGGAAAATGATGGCATGGACAATGCGCAGACAGGACAAGTCAGAAGAGCGTGGAATCGCAATAGTAATAATAATAATCCGGGTGCAGTTGCAAACGAGGAGGAGGACGATGCGGATGGGGATGAGGCACCACTGACGTACCATCAACTGGGCTTAGGGCTCCGGCAACACATACTTCTTTTTGAAGCAAGCATGAATTTATTCATTCAACTTGCCATCAGTTTCTCAAAGGGTGTGGCACAGAACATGGTGGCGCAGCAGATTAGTCAGATGTTGGCCCGCAGTCTCGTTAGCTTTGCCGGTGCTGAAAATAGAAACTTAAAGATTGAGTATTCCGAACGCTATAATTTTCGTCCTCGTGAAATTCTTACCCGTCTGGTAGATTGCTTGGTACAATTTCGACGTTTTAAGAACTTTATGCGGTCTCTTTGTAACTGTGGTGTTCCACTTAATGATATCCTCCAGTCGATTGACATGGTGACGGAGCGTGGCCTGGTGGGCGAACACCTCATCTGGAAGCTGAAGGAAATTGCCGCGACACTTACGGCCATTTCACAAGAAGTTTACGAGGATGAGGCGATGTGGGATGAGGCACCGGACTTTGCTATGGATGCGTTGCTCTTGACGCCGCTGATCCGTCCAGTGGCGCTTCCAGCCGATGTGAAGGACTTGAACGACCTGGTTTACGTGAACGAGGACACAATTCATCATGTCCTCCTCTCTGAGAACAAGCATCCTTTTACTAAGGAATACCTGGATGAGAGCATGGTAGTGGAGTTTAACGCACGGGCAGATGTCACAGAGGCACGACAGAAGCTGGAAGCTCGCATTGCAGCTTGGATAAAGGAAACGAAGGAGAAGCAATAAGCTGGGCGTTTTTTTTTTCACCCCCTTGTATTGCCCTTGAACTCATGAAGGGAAGAGTGTTTTTTTTTTTTGAGGGGGGGGGGTAGTAGTGATGCAGGAACCGTTTGCTTGTGTGCACGTCTTTTGATTATTATCTTCTTTTTTATGTATTCGGTGCGTTCGCTTTGCATGGAGGTGTTTATACGAGTGGGTGCGTGGTATTCCAAGCTTGTGGTCCTTTCCTCCTCATGGCTGACAGGAGGGACGCAAATTTTGTATTCTCCCCTTTTGTTCCACCGACCCGTGACACCGGTATAATGTGCGGGCCACCGGACACGTGATGGAAAAGATGACGAGGTTTGTGGTGGGGACGAAGTAGGAACCCAGTGGAACCAGTGTGAGTGGCCGTGCTTTCTTTTTTTTGCTCTCTGTTATTGTGGTGTGCGGTCTACAACATTTCTATTGAAATATAAGCATGAACTGCCTCTCGAGGCGAAATAAGGGAGAAGAGGAAAAAGCAACAGCAACAGCAACAGCATAAAAAAGGAGGAACGTGTGAAGCTGTGTGAAAAATGCTGCTTTAGAAGGATCGGTGAGCTGCCATGTGAGCACATCCCGCCTGTGGGTTCCGCTGAGTGTTCACAAATATGTGTATGCCTGCGTGGGCCGCATTGTGCTCGCTCCCCTCACACCTCCTATGCTGTTTGTTTTGCTTTGTTTTTGGTTAAGCGAGAGGATTATTTGGCGTGTAGTCTTTGCCCCGCTTGTTGTCTACAGCCGTGGAAAGCGCACTTGTAAAAGGAACAGAAAAAGACAACATCAATTCATTGTTGTTCTTGTTGCTGTTTTGTTTTGCCTGCCTTTTTTGGTCTTTAGAAAGAGAGCCGCGTCTCTTCCTATTCCATGCTTCGTGTGGACGGTTGTTTGCTGGGGCGATGGGGTCCTCGTGACTTTTTGCGTGGGCGGACCAAACGCGGCGGTGCAATTCATACACGCCACACACACGGAAGTCAGGGACGGTACAAACGTCTCTCAAATAACTTTGGCTTGCGTGATGGTCGTCGGCATGCGTGGAATCACATGAAGGGTGGTCTTGGTATCAAACTGGGCGGTGGACTATTTGGTCTACGCATTCCACGTCAGCACGCTCTTTCCACCATGTCGCGAGACGAGTACGAGGTTGCCATTTACGGCCATCCCAACATCACGAATCCTTATCGACATCGCATGGATGAACACCCGGAGTTAAAGGGGGTTATGCAAAATGCGTCTCTGGATGTACATTTGGTGCTGTTGATGCCTCGAGTACCGCGTGTCACGACAACGGCGACCGTGGCGGAGGCAGTGCCTCAGTCATGGGACGAATTACTTTGGCATTTGGGCGAGATCATCCGAAAAGAGTCTTGTTTGATGGACCATAGTAGCAGTATTATTAAAACTTACTGTGCAACAACGTCTGCCTCAGTTTTGTGTCGTGATGCATCTCACGACTCACTACATGCTGCTGCCGCATCTCTCTTTAAGGATCTTATGCGAGGTGAAAAACTTTGCCCATCGTCTCCGACGTTGTTGAACCAACGGCACGCAAAGAGACGCATTCCGTTACTTGGTGCTTCCCTTTTAGCGTCTGCATTGCCCTCAGCGAGGGCGGGTGTTGGAATCACGTCTTCCACATTGCCGTTTTGCATGACACAAAGGGAAGAGGTGCCACGAGTTTTTTTACAGGATTCAAAAAAAAAATTGACTGCGCCTTACTGAGCTCGTCCATTCCTGTTGCCTCGGCTCTCTCCTGTAGCGTTGCCCAACGTGGGGCACAGCAGTTGCTGCAGGATCTGCGACAGTCGTGCCCTCAGGCTCTAAATTTGTGTCTTCGTTTAGACGAACTTCTGCCCACCGGGGGTGAGGAGGTAAAGGAGAAGCATGCAACGGAGGCAGCATCAACAAACCCTCGCCGGAAATTGCTGCGGGAGGAAATGGACCCAGATGAAGTCGGTGTGTGGAAGAGTCCTGCAGCGACGGTGGATGCTCTTATGCGATGGCAGTACTTTAATTGGGATCCTCGTGCACATAGTAAAGATTGCTTGCCGCATCACAGACGAAGCCAATCCGTGCACGTCTTTGTGGACGCCTCAAGGGTAACAGGGCGAAGAGTTTCTTCCGAAATAGGCTCAGGCAACAACCAGCGTCACTCCGCGCTGCGGTCATTGATGTCTCCACTGTTTTCAGAGAATTTACGGGCGATGAACTTCAAACGTGTGACTCAGAAGGGTCTTGCCGAGACGCTGGCGGCGTTGCGGGGGTGGTCGGCAGATTCCCACTGGCGCGCCCTTGAGGAACGAAGAAACACGCGCAGAGGAGAAACGGAGGCGCACTCACATTCACATTGACACTTCTCCACTCTTAGAATAAAAACAACAATAAAAAAGAGAGTCGTGCTGGTGTGAATTCCTTGTATGTCAGGGAAAGATAACATGTTGGTCGGGGCGGGGTGGAGAGGAGAGCGATGGATTCATCCTTCTATCTGGATGTGCCCATGCGTCTGGAGCTGCAGCGCATCTATGGATTTTTGCATTGCGCTACGTCTTTTTTTTTTTTCTCAAGTGAGTTTTTTTAATCCTTTTTGGTTTTGGTGGTTTTATCGTTTTTTATGTTGCCTTTTGTATTCAGGGAGAACTGTACGTGTGATCGAAGGGAACTGTCTCTCTCTCTCTCTCTCTCTCTCTCTGTGTGTGTGTGTGTGTGTGTGTGTGTGTGTGTCG